GGGGTGTGTGTCTATGAGGTAGTGTCCAGGGTCACTGATGAGGAGTGGAATTCTCCGAAACTAGTCTGGCTCATAGACGCACCCCCCCCCCCAATGAAATAATAGACCATTCCAAGCTTTAACTTGTTGTTAAAACAAATGTTTAAACAACTCTACTTATTCAATTATTAAGGGAAGAGTCAGCCAGGTGTGTTATTTACGTTTTGTATTAAAAAGGCTTAGTAGAATACAACTTGGGAAGAAATGAGCGCTAAATTCGTAGTTGTGTTAGATACACGTATTGACTCGATAACACAGGCTTGCGAATTTAAACTTCATAAAAGTTGTTTTGGTTTTAATAACGGATTTTCCATAATTCAGCTACGCAGATTTCGAAAATAATAATATTTTTTTTCTATCACGTAAGATTTTTTACAAATGGGGGGGGACTCTCACTTAGATCAAATTATTATTTCGTTTGCCACAGTGAACATTTTTTATTATTATGTTTGGGTTCTAGAACGATCCATAAGACTCACATCGCGACTGGTTTAGAAAAATCTATAGACAGTGGTTGTCAACATTTTAATGATTCACTTATGTAAAAGTATATATGAGGTGTTGTGAAAATCTGTACGTGATGGAGAAAAATGGATACCATTTTCGGATTCAGCGTACATGAATTACAGTAGAACATGTAAAAATTTCAAGACAATCGCAGGCCTGCGTAATCTGAGAAAGTGAAACATTAGCTCTTTGCTGTAATTTTGATTATAAAACTCATTTTAATATATTCTGACATTTAAGCTATTTTAGTTGTTATTAAATCACCAAGGTTTATTACTCAGATTTCTGGGTGAGTTACTTGTCATTTCTAGGGTAACCAATTAAAAAACCCAACAAAAAACCTGTAATTGAAACTGTGTGTCTAGTGCATGTAACCTCTGAAATGTCTAACAGATGTTATACTAAGTTTGTATAAAGTACTAAAAATAAACTGTATTTCTAATACAGAAATAATAAGATACCGTGTTACATTCTTATGCTACGAGTTTTTCTTAAACATTTTTTGTTTTACATTTGTAGACGAGTCACTGCCTTGTTGGAAATTATTGTTGCTGGTTTTTTTACTATCTTGTATACTACACTTAGTTGCAAAGTTATTGTTTCAGTTGTATAGTTTGCCTAAGTTACACTTCTTTAGACATGAAAACGGGTAATATGAAGAAAAACAAATTTTGTGGTTAAGTGTATAATTTTAGGTTAAGGGAAATAATCTCGAACTCATTCGTGGTAAGATCTATGCTCTTCTGTTTTAAAGACTATTAATCTCATGGGTTATCCAAAAGCCATTTCATCATGATCTCCCTTTCCGGTTACTCATGTAATGTCTTTTTTTTTTAAATCTTAAGTTATTAACAAAAGGCTGAAATAAATTGCTGTTTTCAACGACCAGGCAGATAAGCCTATTTAATAAAAAAGAAAAAAAAGAAAGTCTGGGTTGAGTGGTGGGTCGTTAAGGCAATTCAAATATTTAAAAACAGAAAGTTAGTATTTAATAAAGAATTAATCCGAAAGCGTGTAACATATACACATAACACTGGAAGACTTGGAGTGTGTGGAATTCAGGAAAAGACCATTTAAGATAAATTTAGAGATTAAACTAACAGCCGTGATCTTTCTTTGGGTTATCATTAATATGCCTCATTTGACTTCCTGCCTCTGGACCATTCTGGTTTGCTTCTTTAGCTATGCCTAGCCTGTCTTTAAATTTCAACAATAAAATGGTTTTGTCATCACTATGTGGCCATAGTGGAGTCAATATTTTCTCACACACTTATGAATTTGAGGCAGCTGTTGGTCATTGTAAATCGTTTATACAGCCAGTAACAGACACATAAGCTCGTGATGGTCATTTCGTTCTAGCATCGAGACCTTTTCTTCCTTCTATACAGGTCCCCTCTTTCCTTTTAATGCAATGTCTTCAGATTATTCCGCATTTGGACTTCTTCTATTCATGAACTTCCCATATGTGGTCCGCTACATCTTAGAGCGCCTTTTGAGAGTGAACTACAAGTTCCTTCATTTCTAGGGTGTGTTGGGTTAAGTATGCATTTGCTGTAACGGTTGTAGCCAAGTTGGTGGCTCTATGCCAGTTTACACAACATCTGTGATTCTACATGGTAATACTGGTAGTGGGCCTTATGGGCTATATAGCAGGCCTTAAACATCCTGGAATTGTCTCTTGTTGTGGCAAACTTTATCGTTTTTATAAATATTTATGCCTTCGAACTGATCAGTGGCTTGTTATCCATCTTTATATCAATGGTGGTTTCTATGATGTTTTTAAAAATTATGGCTGTTTTGTATGAGTCAACGCTTCTATATTGAATGATAGTATATGACTAGATGATACTTTGCATAATAGCTCATCATTTAATAAGGGGAATTTAAGTACATTTCTAGGTAGCACGAGAACTTTTAAAATTAAAGATAATAGGTTTATTTTATACTGGATGGTATTCATTACGTTGTCAATCTTGCGTTCCATCAGATCGTAAGGCGATAAAACATTGCTATTGAACTTCGT